CCGAGCGGAAATGCATTGCATTGCATTCAATGCACGAGCCGCTCGACGAAGGATTTGGTACGCTCTTTTCGATGGTTTTTAAATACAACTATAACTTCTTCTGACAGAGTAAAGCAGTTTATAGTATCCGCACCTTAGTTCCGCTGGGCACTGCGACCCAACATGGGAAACGATCACAATCTGGAAGACGGTCTTCTTTTGCCAGGAGGGATATGTCATCACCCTCCTGGTATTTCCGGTAAACCACCCCATTAAGCGCGCGCAATGTATGGGGCTCCGACACCGGGTGAGTCCGATGGTCTCCAACCACCGCGGAGGAGAGTAACCCCAACAGCAGGGTGATGAGGAGCTTCATATGTGATGGAAAGGAGAAATTCACCTGGATCGCAGAAAATCCTCGGCGCAACGTCCTAATGAGTCAGATTCCGCACAGCGGTTGTTGCACAACCGTTGTGCGTTTGTGCCACAACCGCCTTGTGCGACCTAGACCTTCTGTCGATGGATCTACTCGGAGTCGTGATCGCGTCGTCGATTGATACTATAGATAGTCGATGCTAGCGACTCGGTCAACACAGTTTGTGAAGGTAGATACGGGCGTAAGGTAATACTTAGCACTGCTAAGTTTGCAGCGGTCGACAAGGTTGGCAGGGATGTCAACGATAATCCACAAGAGAATAATTCTCTGAGAATCCCGCAAAACACTCCATACGCAATCGATCGTTTGACGCATGCGCAGTGCGCATTGCGCACATAAGCTACGGTTGAGGCTCTCGCGCTCACTCTATACTGTGTATGCCGCATAGGCAACAACGTCGTTGTTACAACGAAAGGTAGCGGATGATGGCCGAACGGAGTCGATTCACGTATAGCGAACAATCGATACAATGCAGCTAACAGACTGGCCCAGAGGAGCGGGCAGATCCTCCTACCACAGACCACCAGCCGGGAGGAAGCGGACCATTCTAGCATTATAAATCTTCTGGCTTGTGCGTTCAGATTAATCGTTATTACGCTTGCGAATGCACGCACACTGCACCTCACGCACACTCGCAACAGCGAAGCAACAACTAATCCGTTATAAATTTACGATCACATCAGCATGCATGATCAACGTATTAAGAGTATGCGAGTCACAAGAGCGACGCTCCTCTAACTCGTGCAAGTGCCCATATAAACAGAACCTCTGAGGTTCTGTTCATATGGGCACTTGCACGAGTTATGTTGTTGTGAGTCAGCACTCCATAGGTGCTTGATATACTGTGTTTCACGGAATCGATAGAGTAAGTAGGGACAAGTCGCGTGTACATATTTGCACACGCTGTGGGCGGATCTACTCGAGGTCGTGATCGAATCGTCACTTGATAAATCAGATAATTCTATTTATTGGCAATTGATCTGATTTTGATACTTCAGCTTCGGTGGACAAAGCCAGATGGAGTGACAACAGTAGTCCTCAAAAGATTTCACGAGAGACTGAATGCAATCGATCGTTTCACGAATGTACTCGTGTCAACCACAATTGACACTTTTTCTCCCGTGTACATGCGTGAAACGGGTCTCGAGTATAGGCTATGATGAGAGAGGCACTTTATGACAAGCAATGTTGACTCATCATGAAGGAGCGCTGACACTAGGGCTCCGGTACGAAGGGGGGCATCGCGCTGAAGTTCTAACCAAATACGCAATAATGTCAACTGCAGAATTCAAAGCTCAGAAATCTGGATAGCGGCCTAGATTTTTAACCTACTCGGCTACTGAAAACATTGCACAGTATATTACAGTACTGTATGTCGTACTGAGCGGACTCCGCTCGGTTTGCTTGCTCCGCAACTAGGCAGATCAATGATCAGAGATCATATATATCTATCTATTCAAGGTACCGAGTTGGTGAACTCCACCAGGTGAAGCTCATCGGCGAAGCAATCTCCCTATTCCGGTGGAGTCTCCACGCCACATCTACACCGTCCACACATTGGCGGACGTCAAGGATAAGACTTGACCAAATTCATGGCGCTAATGCGATGGTTGGCGGATGCGCTAAGACTTGTTACTGAAATGAATTTTAATGGATATTTCATTTGAGTCTCGAGTATAATACTCATTTCGTAAATACTTCGAGCATTCACGAAATGAGTTTGTTGATTTGTATGGGAGGCCCATTGATATTTATGCCATAGTCTATGGCCCATGGATAGACTAGTAAGTAATCGGTATTCTTACACTCAAAAACTACACATGGCTTAACTTGTGAGATACAACTTAAGACACGTGAGGCACGCTGGGTTACGCGGTAACCTAAGGCTACTAGCCTCTAGCATGGTATTGAAATCCCTAACTCGGACGCATAGGTTCGCAAGGCAGACTTAACGAGTCTGTCGTGAGGGTAAGTCAGTGACGGATCATCCTTCATCAATTCAGGTGATACATCAATATTGGATCTTGAATGGAGTACAATGCTGTGACTATTGTAGTGACAAAGATCGATGTAAAAAATAGTCATGATGATGGGAGTGACAGTCTCAGCAATTCAATCGCTGCAGTTGTTATGACCAGGATGTGGGCGACTTGAAAGCCTAACGCTGACAATACGACTTCATTAAACAGGCATCGATGCACATTAGTCCATGAAGAATGTAACCAATGGAGAGACTCAACACCCTCCATGTCGAGATGATAATCGTCAGCGCCCCACAGCTGGCCCAAAAACGGCAACAGAAGTCAAGACCAACAACCAGTGGTTGTCAACCACATAGTCGGAGTCGGGATACCAGTCGACCATTTTGATAATCTTGTGCCCTTCTCAGTACCGCCCAGATAAATGGTCAGTAGGCGTACGACCGCTCCCTTCTGAATTTCGGATCGCCAGTCCTCAGTGAGGACTCCTCACAGCAGGGGCCCATTTCACAAGCGTCCTTAGATTAGGACGTCTTTACGTATAGGATTTTAACCTTAGGACGTCCTTACCTAACTAAGGCTATTTCACTAGATTTTCCTTACCTAACGTTAGGATCCTATACTTAAAGACGTCCTTACCTAACGTAAGGGTACTTCCAATTCTGTACGACCCCAATACTGTACGACAGGTTGATCTCGCTCGCCCGAACATGTCCATGGAGTACCCTCCAATATTGTACGACGGATTCATGCATTTGGGTGCCCTGTCCAATACTGTACGACTGGTCCAGTCGCAATGGTGGGTCTCTCTCGTTGCGCTTTGGTAGGAGCTGCTTTGGAGTATCTCAGAATGAAGAGCCCGTACATTCAACGAGGAGAGAGAACGGTGACAACAATGCAGCAGTGTCATGACTGGTGAGTCACGAGGAAAACCTTCCAGGTAAGTGGATTTATCTGTGAGCTCGCAGGGCAATATACACATGATCAACTTCACGTGTTAGCGACGGTGATGAAGATTCGGTGAATTATTGTCGAATTTTATAAACTTCCACCTAAGTCGTGCGCCATCTTCCACAATGTGGCGTTGACAGTGTCAGCTTGGCACTCGTGCATAAACCGGATATTATCCAACTGATGATATCGGTGGGGAACATAAGTAAAATTCCACCACCGAAGCTGGCATAGCATAAGCTGTTGAAGTATTCGCGTCTTCTGAGACAACGCAAATACTTCAGTGTCAAGTACAGGCTGTACTGTACAGCGAGCGCTGGTTGTGCGGCGCTGGGACCGTATCGAATCCCGACGCATTTCAATCTGAATTGCCAACTCAATCGTGCTAGGTATAGGTCTGCCTTAGTCTGGCATATATTTCACATGGTGAATTTTACCAGTTGTTTAGCGAAGATGAATTACAGCTCTTCAATCTGCCCTCCATTGGAAAGTCTCCAGTTTCCTATCGCTTCAGTCATCATCCTGGGTTTAATAATGCGATAAAAATACGGGATCGTTCTACGATGGGGGCTGATTATTCGGTTCAATGCTGGCAGCATTATGCTGCAAAAGATTGTGGATTGTTGGGTAATTCCGAATTACTCTTTAGGAATCGTGAGTCATGGATTGTCGAAATACTAATTCGACAGCTCAACCGCTCAACAGCTCTTCCGTCCTGCCCTTGCCATATCGCTGCTGTGTAAATCGACCTCGGTCAGCAATTTGCCCTCTTAAGTATTACACTGGGTGAGTATTCGTAAGAATTCCTTACGGGTATTCACCCAGTGAGTCTCTGTGCCAGCGTATTGTGCGGCATTAGCTATGCACATGCGTGCGCTCCGGCCCGGCCTTGAAGGCCCGTTAGAAGGTGATTGACTCTCTTGTAGTTATCTTTCCCCACCTTCCAACCTCGAAGTATGAATACCACTCCACCTTCGCACATCTCTGAGACGCCTCAGCTGCGTGAGGTTGCAGATCAGGTTGACATGGTGGTCAACGTACCTCCTGCTGACGGAGCAGCGGCCTCACGGCTGGAAATAGTTCCCGGAGAACGTCAGGGGACAACTCTCTACTCATATAGGGGATACCTTTACCACCAGAATGCCGCCGGGAATAGCGATCGCCCGCCTGCTCGAGAGAGAGGCTCGGTTTCTTGTCGTTGTAAGAGGTATCGTGGTTGTAAGAGCAATGGATATCGCAAGTGTCATGCTCGGCTAGTCGTGACGGGTAACCTAGATGATGTAAGGCTCGCTTCCGCAACTGTCAAAGGTTCTCACACATGCGGAGATCCGGATGCGCCTTCCATGAAAGGCTACATTGAGATGAAGGAGCGGGCTAAAAAGCTGTCGGTGAGGGCACGTGTCATGGAGCCATTTCACGAGGTGACTCCGAGCATGGACGATGCAGCGGTAGCGGGGTTACCGAGTCGCAAAGCGATACATGAGACTTTGCGCAAAACAAAAAAAACTTCCCTCGGGCTACCGACGGCCCCATCCAGTCGGGAAGGGCTGGCGGCTTTGCCCTCTGCATTTGTCCATGTGAATGCTGGGGGCCTCAGTCGGTCAACCTTATTGTTCGATAGCGGCGAAGGGGATAAGGATCGCCTCATCATCTGGATGGATCCTTGGGTGAAGGACGTGATGAAGAACGACGGAGAAGGTTTCCACATTTCTGTGGATGGGACGTTCAAGACTTCTCCGACTCATTGGGCCCAGCAATTCACGGTCATGGTCCGCTTTGACTGTGGTCGCATGTTTCTTCTATTCTACGCTATTCTCCCGAGAAAGAATGGAAATACCTACGAGCGATTTTTTGCGGCGATAGAGGGATCGCTGACTCAGGATGTGGGGAGCTGCATGATGGATTTTGAATACGCTGTGAGAAAAGCTTTCGAAGGCGTATTCGGGAAAGGAAAGGTTGTTCTTTGCTACTTCCACTTCTGCCAGAACATAAGGCGGAAGTTCGAGAGCCTTATACGGAAGCCGGTTGCTTCTAAGGAGCAGCAGGCTCTGCGAGAAGAGGTTTACTACGACATATTGGCGCTCCCCTTTCTTCCGCTTGATCTCGTGGACTTGGGAATGGATTTCATCTGCGACAAACTCTCGGGAGACGACCGTCGTTTTCTTCTGAAGTACCTCCGCCCTTACTACGGCATGAAAGGCATTCATCCAGCAAGATTGTGGAACTTGCGTTTGCGCGTTGAGCAAGAACTACCGCGGACGAATAATGGCCAGGAGGGATTCCACAACCATTGGAACGGTCATTTTCCGGGATCAAGCCATCCTACAATCTGGTCATGGATAAGCGTGGTTCATGATCTCATGAAGGAGACGAGGGCCGAATTACTTATGATGCGAGAGGGGGAAATCTGGCCTCGTGAAGCTCGATACCTCGAGAATGACGCGATACTGCGCAGAGTTTGTCGCTTCAGAGTAGATTCGGCGAGCCTCGGGAGCTGGTTCGATAAAGTAAGGGCTTCCATCAGGAGGATCGTGAAGGATATGCGTCGCGAAGTTGACGAGGCGGAGTCTCTAGAGTTCCCTACTATTGAGCCTGCTACTGATGCGAAGCGCAAGGCAGACTTTGGTCCCAATTATTCGGGAGTGAATCAGCGAAAGCGCCTCGCAGCTGTGACTCTCAACGATGCGGTCGAATTCTCGCAGGATTCGGAATCTTCTGAGCCTCCAAATAACGACACTGTGGTGCTCGGGGTACCCGAGGGTTCCAGCTTGGATGATGGCTTACTTCGCATGTTCAATGAGGTGGCAGCTGCTTTCGCGGGCAACACCTTAGTCGAAAATTCCTTAATGGAGGCTCCTCCGATGCCAGCTCAGGCTGAGGCGGGATCTCAGGGTATCGCAGTTCAACCACCTTCCCAGGAGAAGTCGGGCTCAGACGGAACTGACCGTAAGAGCGATAAAGGACGGAACTCCTTCCCAACTTGGCGTATTTTTCCGGGGAGAGAAGTGGGTACGACCTTGCTCTTGACGACCCAGGATCGAGAGAATTTGGTTGTCGAGGACTCGAGCATTTCCGACCAGGTGATAGAGGCTTGGATGACCCGTATCGAACACAAGTTCAAGAGGAAGGTTAATCGAGCTCAGGCAGTATGGCTATCGGGCTATGGGTTTCCCCTGTGCCTGACAATGATTTGGTTGTCTTGCAGCCAATATCTGACGGCGGTTGTCACTTTACCTGCACGGTGCGGATTAATGGTGATATATTTTACTTTGATAGTTCATACGGAGAGCAGGCTAAGGTCTCGGATTACATGAAGGTACGGCTGAGGCAGCTCTACGGATCTGGTGCTAAGGTGGTATGCCCTTCTGTTCAACAGCAAACCATTGGAAGTAATCTTTGTGGGGCGTTCGTGTTGGCACGACTAACGGCATATGCTGCTTCGCCTCATCAAAAACCTGACAAGTTTCTATTTCGGGAATCTGAGATGAGGCAGCATATTTTCTCCTGCTTGGAAGATGAGAGTAGGCGGTCTCTCCTCTTTCCGAGAATACGAGGCAGGACCCCGCCTGATGTAATCTTATCGAAAAAGTTTTCTTTCACATTGTGATTTTTAATGTAATCAACTTCAATGCATGTATGAGAGAGGGTAGAGCCTCCGTCATGACTGTTGTATGATATACAATTGAGGCAGTATAGGTCTCTTGCAGCGCCAAAGATCTCACGTCACATATATTCCCCATAAATTCCCAGTACCGGTTTAGTTTTCAGTCCTGCTATTGTGCTGTATTAGTCAATACAGTTCACGGCATCCAACCGTTATGTGCTCTATTCTTCAGTGTAACACACATTAAGACCGTAGTTTTGAAGCGCTCAACAATGTTGTCATTGACTGCCTGTCCGTGACAGGCTGTCACTCTTACCGAGATAACGGGATGAACGATAACATTGTATCTAGCTATTGGACTTACGACTGAATTGAATTGTCTTGGTGGATGGCGCCTCTCCGCCCTTATCGACCGCCGCGCATGGGGGAGGGGTCCCCATATGCGCGATTATTTTTTACCTTTAGGAGCTCCCACCAAAAATGTCTAAGTTTGGAGCCGATTTCGCGATCTAGCCTATAAATCCCACTAATTCCTTCACCAATCGACAGATCTCGATCTCCTGAACATCGCTGTGAAGCCGGATTTTCGATTTATAGGCTCAATAAAAAGTTATTAACGTTTTAGTTTTCATCGGTTCCATGTGAACCATGTTGCACAAGCAACTTCTTCTTCAACAGTCCTTCTAGTCTGGCAGGTTAAGGGCGTGCGCTATCACTCGAGACACCCAGGTTCGAATCCCGGTGAGATTATATTGCGGAATAAGGTTCAGCACTCGGAGTAGGGCAGCGACTTGGGTGGCACAGCGGTCAGTAGTGTACTAGTGAGAAGGACAATGCCCTCTGGGCTCTGAGTAGGCTGTAAGTCCATGCTCAGTGCTACCAAGCAACACTCAACTTTCGGCTGGCGACTCGTACACTTTTAGTATGTGTAGTGAGTTTGGTGTAATGGTTAGTGTGACGGGGTGTCACTCGAGTGATGCAGGTTCGAATCTGAGTAATTTCAGTTCTCTGTATCATCGTAGTAGGGGTAGACCGTATATATTTGGTTTAGTCTCATGGACAGTGTCATGCTCTGCCATACGGTTAACGTATATCCGACCTCTGACAGTTAATACTCGTACTAAGTACTGGTGATAATATGCAGCACAAGGTCTTCGACTGTGATTTAACTAACCACCACGGTGTACGGTACTAGAGACTGGCGACCCAAGACGAAACACAATTATTTAAGCGAGGTATTACTCTAGTGGTTATTCAGTCCGACTCTCATTCTAGAGGTCGCAGGTTCGAACTACGACGGGTCCGTGCGGGGTCCCCACTTCAGTGGGGTGCACGGACCAATCAACCCTGCAAACTCGAATCCCCTCGAAGCAATGCAAAGTAACGCGCGAGAGCGCATCAGAGAGTAGTCTAGCACCCTAGTCTACATCGGCAAACTCAGACCAGTGCGCACGGCTAACAGTGCGCACTCAAGCCAGTGGTACTGGCTCAAGACCAATCTAGTAATAGTGGTAAGCCACCATCACGAGTGTGTCAGGCAGGACCATGCCGGACGAGAACGTGAAGTCTGCCACAGCGTGGCAGGTAGACTAGCAACTGGCACCGCAGGTGACAGGATCAACCAGCACACCGCTAGGTCGCCGTTTTGTGTCGTACAACTTTGGAACACGCATGAAATCAACTCTTCACGTCGTACAGTGTTGGGAGGCTACATCTGGGCGAGCGAGATCTACCTGTCGTACAGTATTGGGGTCGTACAGAATTGGGGGATTCAACGTAAGGATGTGCTATCTGAGGATATTAGGAATCCTTACGGCAATTAAACACAAAAACGTTATATAACCGCGATTCGAACCAGGATCTCCCAAACACCAAACACAAACTTTACCACTCCACCATTTTATACTTACTTCTAACGAAATACGAATCGGTTCATCGAAGCATGGACCACAAAGGTAGTGCCTCAAGGCGCCATTCAGCAGATTTATTAACAACTGATACGCGTAATGGATCTTGACGAAGCGGAACTAGGAGATACGAAAGAGGGCACTCATGGCTCAACAGGAAGCTTGGGTAGCTTGGCAGCAAGCTGGTAGAGCGTGGGGCGAAGTTTCAGTTTCTGCTAAGAGGGCCTTTTCTGCTATGGAGGAGTCCTGCAGTAACAAAACGCCTGACTCTAGCCAAGATGAGTATTTGTAAGTAGTTTCATATGAAGTTTCAAATGAGTATCGAAATTATTGTCGAGTTTTGTTAATAGTTGTAAGATTTTTGTTTAAGTTACAAATTAATTTAAAAATGTACATGCAGAGTTTCGAACCAACGACTGTTTGGCGGAGCGCAGCGAGTCGTCTTGCACACTTTTAACCTTAGGATTGCCGGTAAAGTACCCCCCCCGAGGTACTTTACCGTGAGGATGAAAATTTCCTTAAAAATATAGCTTGTGAAAGCCGGGGCGTCCTAAAGGCCAATTTTTAAGGAAAAAGGCATCCTAATGTCCTAAATCCTAACGGTAAGGATCCTAATATCCTAATGTCCTAACCCAGCCTAAGGAAAGGGCCCTCGTGAACGCCATTTATCCTTAAATTGCATCCTAATGGGTTAAAATCCTAACATTAGGACGCTTGTGAAATGGGCCCCAGGTCCTGTTGAAGTTCAACAGTTGAACAGAGACAAGTATGCGTGCACGCTAATTGCGCCGAGACTGAGTCTCAAAGACTCACGCATCCAGGTTTCGTGGTATCTATAGAGATCTACGAACATAAGCCACTTCTTGCAGTGCAACTCCAATAACTGGGCGTGCACAATACGTGATTGTAACCATCACAATGTGATGCGTCCCATTCCATCAGCCTCGTCATGCCACGCTGTGAGATTACAATTTGTGCCCTCGTAGGACTCGGTAAAGCACTTCATCCATTCGAGTCGAATGCAAGTCGTAGCATAAACTCTCCCGTGCCCAAGATTAAGACAAATTCATGCCTTTGAGGGATTTAACACATTCTCAACGTGCGCTTCCTTGCGTGCCCTGGTTTTTCCTCTCAAGTACTTCACTGATAACTCATGGACTCTATGATGCGCCCTCTCCAGGAGAGGAACCTGAAGTAGTGGCCGTACCCAGGAGAGGCTCTCCTGGGTATGGCCAGTGCTTCAGGTTTCTGGTTCACATGAGTAACATCTTAAACCTGGATAATAGTTCGGGTTTCAGGCCTCCCGTCGGGTTTCAGGTGGGGTTTCCTATTTTCCATTCCCCGCTTTCATCTGCGGTTTCTTCTTTTTTTGGGAGGAGCCCGTAGCACTTGCATTAAAGCCATTATCCGGGTAACCGCCTGACAGCTGAGCTCCGACGAGTCAGTCAGAACTCCGAATAGTCTGTAGAGTAGACCGACGTGCCGCCGATTGGAATGCTGCATGCACTTTGCTAGCTCAAGGATGATGACTAGCGATTGATGACACATTAACATGAGCCTTTTATCAAAAGATAGTGCGTTTCCTTTTGATATGAGCATCATACGCATTGAATAAAGCGAGAATATTGCCATTTTTTATTGAGTTATTCGATCTCAATACTCAAGTGAATACATCAAAATGCGTCACAATCTCTTCCCCTCAGATGGCGACATCTCAAGAGTCCACCTCATCTAAAATGACTCCTAGTGTGTGAATTCCGCCACTTGAATCTTCTCGACATCCCTTGGGGGCAATCTCACAGGAGCTGCGACATTACCGATAGTTGATAGCTTACAATCGCGAGTCGCGACCAATCCATAGTGTACAGGTCGGCGATCTAGTAGACGATACTCTTCAATGATCTCGTCACCGCCTTATATGCTAGGTCGTACTTGTAGCCGGTACAACAAGTTCTGAGCATAATCGTAGTCTCAGACGAGAACATATAACTTGCAGATTCGACCTCCGAGGCAATCTCCCAGATTGCGAGATCGAATGCTTACAATTCTCCGGCAAAGGATAGTGATCGTGATGGGCCATGAAAGCAAGCTGACTAGGCAGCAGCGCTGTGCCTGCACACTATAGGGTACGGCGTAGCCACTACACTAAAACTAACGCCATCAACTTTTGGTTCTCCAATCAGGTCGAAGATTCATAAACCATCGTGACGATCCTCATTTCTCGCTCCAGGGTTAATCACTGAATAACGCAGCTTTGCACGCAGAGGGCGTAGACCAAACTAACTTGGGCAGCACAATCTCTTACACGGGCTGTTTTCGATGATTCACTTGTCTACTCCGCTAAATTCCAATTCCGGTCGTACGTAGTCTAGTCCGAGCTTCCCCTCTATCTCGACTGTTTATTAAATGAACTTAAATTGGCGACTGTTGCTTATGAGTGGCTCTGCCAATTTGCGATGTTTCACGAGATTAGCTCACGGCGGGTAACCGTACTCTAACCCTTACGGGGCCGATGCCCTGAACTTTCACGTAGACGATGCTCCTGTACCACATCGATCACCTTGCTGCACCCATTCTCTACTACATCCCGACGTGCAAAGTTAACAACCACTACAGCTAGCGTGTCTTCGGTCGCGTGTCAGCATCAACCCTTACGGGTGGCGTGTCGAGCCGGAAGGATCGACCTGCGAAGCAGAACGTCCCGTAAAATCAACGAAAAGGAACCACTGCGTCGAATACTATGTGTGGGGAGGTTCTCAAAGGTTGTGGTTCAAGTGGATGTAAATCAAACACACAGTAGTCGGACGGCAGCAGATGTGTCGCAAAGGGTTGAGCCTAGAGGTAGGCAAGGAAGTACCTGTAAACTGTTGAAGGCTCAAGAGAGAGCAAATACGACACGTTCGTCAATACTTCGAGGTTGAATGCCGTGACTCCAACTCGAAGGAAACGCAACTAGAAGAACCAGTTACGAAAGGGGCTAGTCGAAACGCTTGATAGTCTAGAGATCTACTGTAACCAAGGAAGGCACAGTAGGCAAATCTCACGAGAATATCACGAATCACAAGTAATGACTCTAATTCTAATCTAATCCTCGAATCAAAAAGGAGACAACCGTTTCAGCCGTTTCACTATGGGAAATCACTAAATGCATGTAATCCGAGCGAAATCAGCAAACCACAGTTGGGCTGTTGAATAGTCGATCAAAAAGAGGGGGTATCAATAGTACTAGTTCATCTATCAGCTTCTTACTGGCCATTGGTGGGCCTATCTCGGACGGGACGTCCGACACACCATAGAACCTGGGATTTAGGATCCCACATTTAATCATACCTTATACCTGGGATTTAGGATCCCGTACTTAATCATATCATATTCTTAATTTAATGACAATACTGGTCTTAGTTGGTAACGTCGGCATCTTCGAGTTCGCTCCTTCCAGAGGTCGAAGTAGTCAGTCATACTTTGGCATCGTCGCTCATAGATTTCTTCGCATAGCATTTGTAGGTCAGACTCTAGAACATCTTGTTCATCACGTCGTAGGCCGGGCAACCATTCATCAATAAGTTGTTGACCTAGTCTAGCATCCTCACCAGTGCAGGAACCAGCAAGATAACGAGGGCGTCGTCCATGATATAATTCGAAGGGGGTTAGTCCTCCAAAGTCGTTCAGAGGGAGGCGGTTCACACTGGCCACAGCTTCACTATAAATAGTCACGAAGGTTATGGGCTCATCCTGCAGCTCAGCTCTCGCCAACCGACTCCTCACTTGTTGCAATATAGTCCCATGTACCCGTTCATGAAAGCCTCCAAGATGTTGAGCATCTCGTGGTAGGTAGGTATAGGCAATAGCTTGGGACTTGAGGTACATCTTGAAATCACTGGAAGTAAAGCAACTTCCCGGGTCCATGACAACGGCCTGAGGAATGCCATTCATAGCAATAATCTTGTGGACCGAGTCAATCACGGCACCAGTGCTCGGGTTGTCGAGGACATCGAATAACACATGGAAGGACACTGGATCAGTCATAGTCAAGCCCCACTTCTTCTGTGGGACGTCAGGATCATCGTCACACTCGAGAAAGGGACCTTGTAGGTCTAGTACATAGCAACTGCCAACACCAAAGTGTAGTCCAGGAGGTCGAACAACTCCTCCTGCTCGACGAGTACAGGCTCTTTCCCTTGTACGTTGACATACGGGACAGGACTGTAGCAGGCGTCGTAGTACTTGTCGCACCTTGGGGGTGGAATACCATTGTTGATAGATAGCAAGTAGCTTGGCAGCTCCAACATGGCCTTCTCCTTCATGTAGTGTAAGTAGACATTCTTGTACTTTCGGGCCTCTCGGTATCACAGGCAACGGGGTCACCGTTCTTGATTTGTCGACTATGGAGGTGATACCGGTGAAGTACAGGACGTTGTTCTCATCGAGGCAATACATTCTCATACCATTTGGCCTCTCATTTAGGGGCACATTTCTCAGAGTAGCCTTAATAGTCGACAACCTCCCATCAGCATCTTGTAAATGCTTGATCTCTTCGTCTTCAAAGAAATGCTCAATGTCGATCACGTTCACTTTGCATATAGGTGGATTTCCATCCACAGCTTGCAGATCGTCTTTCTCATCAGTCAGACGGGGGTCGAAGACAACGTCCAGGGTAGCAATAGAAGCAGTAGCAACAGCATGCTGGACTTCAGTTCTGGTCATTGGGGAGGGGGCGTCATTTCCGTGGGGTCTGCTAGGGCCATCAGCCGGGTTCTTGTCACCGTTGATGTGTCTGACTTCTACTGTTATACCCATGGATCCCAATTCATTGATCTTGGTGATAACGTCCTCCAACCTCTTTGTCTCGAGGCTTGTGATAGTCTTCATCTTACGTAGGGCTTTGACTCGTCGCAAACGGTAGATTACACACTCGCTGTCCACGTGGATGACGATCTTCTTGATATTTGTATCATAGTGTAAGTTGGTAATCATCTTGACATAGTTAGCAACCTTACACACTCCATCACAGAAAGCCATAGTCTCTTTCTTCGGTATGCTCCACTTGTCTTCAGCCGCCGAGTATAAGTGACAGGAACCGTAAAGTCGTTGACAGTCAGCGTCGTACACTTGTTGTGATCCAGCCACTAAGCTCGCATCAGTAGAGACGTAGATGGTCTCGATGTTCAGGTGCCTTGGCGTCGTAGTAGCCTTGGCAGATTCTTTCACTGCATATTTGCATAGCTTTATCAGTTCGGTGCCATAGTTATCATCGATCTTAGCATCCCACGAAGTGGAATGTTGGTAGCATTGTCGTCCTAGATATCGTAGACGTCCAGCAAATTCAACTCCTAAACCGATAGGGTCGTAGTAGGCCATGATGAGACGGAAGGCTTCTCTTCGAGTCAAATCGCCTCCCTTCTTCTCGAGTAACTTCAGGTTAGGTCGATAGTCGACGAACATATAATCATCCTTCACACCGTAGCCCAAGTAGTGGCCTTCGTGAGACAACCAACTCTTCATCCTCTTCTTTGGATTGTCTTCGAACCCATGGTCTCGGAGTCCACCCATGACCTTGCGGGCAATACCCTCGACTTGAGGAATAGTATCCCCTCTGGACTGCACGTCGTCGACATAGATGCTTACATGTGAGCGGATTGTAGTACCGTCGGACTGGGCGGCGTTGTCAGAAGCAATAATCTTATGGTCACCCTCGATCGGAGGTGTTTCATCAGCTATGGTAGCGTGGTTGATGGATAGGTTGTAGTCATCCAAGACTTGTAGCGCCACCTCGCCGAGGATCGAGACATCATGGTCGTCAGAGTGGTGAAAGTCGTTCAATTCAATGATGGTAGTCAGCACTTGCCCAAGAGCACTCGGAGCGTAGTTGCTTCCGAAACCCATGGCCGTCCATACACCGTATAGCATCTCAGAGCCGTACTTGTTAGCCATCCCAAAGTAGGGTTCGTTCTCGGGATCAATCTTGACTTGATAGAAAGCACGTCGAAGGTCATCTAGGATCACGTACGGGCTCAGTCTAAATAGATGGAGGTTGCTCATAAGGGTCATACCAAGTCGGTCATCGTTCATAACAGGTCCATCTCGACATAGACGATTCAGGCCAGTGCTTCCATCAGTAACCAATCGCACCTTAGTAGTGGCATGATCTGGTCTCACCACAGGGAAGCTCGGTATCAGGTGCTCGATGTTATCACGCCTCTCGTGTCGAACATAACCTTCATCATATAGTGACTTGATAACCTCCAGATAGGCAGCACGTTCTTTATCACGTAGTCTTGAGTCAGTGGCAATAGCTCGCTGTATGGCCATGCCGTTTAGTCTACCATCAGGTCGTCGATCATCAATCCAGGGCACATCCAAACAGAAACGTCCCAGCCGGCTCTTCGGCGTTGAAGGTAACAATTTCCACTTGAAGGGCTTGGTGTCTTCAGTAGCAATGTCTTTGGCTTGTTCAATCTTCGTCTGTTGGACCTTCTGGTCAGCGGTAAGGCCTTTTTTGTTCAAGAGGTCGTCATCGTCCTCGGCCTGAGGATAGCTGCTAATGATCATCTCTTCCATCAAGTCGTTGGGGATGGAAGTCGTAGAAGTATAGGCATCTCGACGAGGGGCTCCTGGTTTAGGGGGCTCAACAACCAAGTCGCAGATCTCAACGACACCATAGTCAATGGGCTGTGGTGAGTAGGTCCTGGTAGCACGGTGTCGTCTCTGTGCAGCGATGGAGGACTTGGCGTCTCCTCCAAGCAACATCAGATTATCCTTATCAGTCATAAACCAGACAGCTCCGACTCCTCGTAAGGCATTCGTACTCAGCAAAATAGCATGGGATAGAGGAGTGTCCACCACAACAAAGCTCTCGTAGACCACTGTATCGTCGGCGAAAGTCAGCTTCAGGTTCCGGACGATACCTGTTACTTTTGGGCTTCCTCCATCAGCAGTACGCACCACCAAGTCGGTGGGTTGTATAACAACATCAGGAATCTTCGTCAATTCGGCCTCGTGGATAACGCTCATGGCAGCTCCGCTATCCAATAATGCTCGTAATGGTTTCTGACAGTCGTTGATCTCGAAGTCGATGAAGTGGCTAGTACCCATGCCTGGGTTATCAATAAGAACCACCGAGAGGCCTTGAACCGTAGGGTTGTTGCTAAAGCAAGCCATAGTGCCATGGTTTACACGTCCACAGCGAGAGCACTTCTTTTGATAGGAGTCATATTTCTCAGGACACTTCGACTTGATACTGTGAAACAGGCCACAGAACTTGCATCGGTCCTCTTTGTACTTCATAGTAGCACAGCATGTATCGGCCTTGTGAGTACCGGAGTTGTCTAGACATCTTCCGCATGAAGCTTGCAATATCTCTTTATTTCTCGGGTCATTGAGAAATTCTCAATGAGAATCGTCTCGTCTTCTCGAACTCTCAGCCTAGCAGGATGGAACGCATGTTGTCCTTCTCCTGGTCGAGTTCGTTGTGCAAAGCGCTTAGGTGGGTCAGAAGGCACTTCTCTGGCCACCTTGTCATCAGTAGTAGCATCAGTTACGTCCACATGGTTAACGGAGACAGACTTGTCCCAGTGTACTCTACACCAACTCTGAGCCAAAACCACCAATTTAGCATAACTAACCGCACCGGGAGTCCAGTAACCTTGCTCGTCCAAGTAAACCTTCAATTTAGGGGGTAAGCAATTGTAGAAGTGGCTCCTCTTCTCCTGCTCAGTCAGAGTCTTATATCCTCTCGTGCGAGCCAACTCCTTAGCAATAGATTCATGTGTGGCGTAGAAGTCAATGAACCGCTCAGTCTTCTTGAGGTACATGTTGATCCATTGAGTTTCTAAGAATCCACCATCAGAGTCACCGAATACCGTAGTAAGATACGTCCATAGTTGCTCTCGTCGATCAGACCAATATCGGCTATTCGGGCGATAGGGTTGATGATAGCTGGCAGGCTGTAAGTCGCTGTTGTGCTCGTAGACATCAACCAGTTTCCTTATACTGTCAGAAAGGTTTCGTCTGACAATAAAGTATTTGCAGCACTCGTTCTGGTACTCGTAGTCAGGGCTATTAGTTAGCTTATACCGGAACTCGCTCAAGGCAATGCTGTCAAGGCCATCAACCGAACCATCCCAGTACTTGCCTTTTCCAAGCACGGGAGTCATCCATTCAACATCAGAGATGACCTTAGAGATCTTCTGTCGGTCTTGATTTTCTTGCCAATCGTCCCACTCAGCGTCGCTCCATCTGCTTGATCTAGAGGTAGTGTGGTCACCGTCAGCATAGACACCATCATCATACCAATTTGCAGCTCGACGTCGAGAGGGGTAGTCATAATAGTCAGCTGGTTGGGCACCAGGTCGATCAATATGTTCAGATTGCAATCTCCTTGTCGGACCAGCGTGGTCGCCTACAAGGGGGGGACTAGTCCCAGTCTGGGACTTCAAATCATCAGGTCTTCTAGTCAAGGGCATACGTGATTGCTGTACCGGTAGTCTAGTGGCAGCTCTGGCCTCAGTCATGACCTCGGTGGTACCCTCACGCTTCTGTGTCTTCAAGCTCTTCACCTCCTCGTGCTGTTGAGGTAGGTCGTCATAATCATCTTCAAAGGGAGTGACATAGCCCCCGTCTTCAGCTGCTGTGAAGGGGTCATCAAAGGGGCTATCGCCATGTGCAAGATTGTCATCAGTGTCATCAGGAGAGGTGCTCTTCAAGGCAGTACCGACATTGATGGCTTCGGTGTTCCCTCATTCGTTGCTGCTGAACGAACATGCATGGGTGCTCCA